GAATATTGCCTCCTTTTTAAGCATAAAGATTAGAAAAAATGTTTAAGGTGTACCAAGGGGATAACTGTATTTAACCATTAAAAACTAAAACAAGTATTACAGCCTTCATGTTATAATTCAACTGGTGTATTATGAAAACTGCATACTTAAGTGAGATTTAAAAAAGTTTGGTCAAATGTATCCTTTCAAAATATTAAAAGGTAGATATAATTGAAATTAGAGATTCAGTTAAAATTTTAATGGAATGAAATACATAAATCTATAAAGAACCTCAAATCCCAAACCAAATGACGGGATTGTCAAAATCAATTAATATTTTTTTACTGTCAACTTTTACGTCAAATACATAATTGGACCTTTCTCTTTTAACCTAGGCAGGCACCTATTTCATGGAGTGCTGCACTTCACCTAAGGGGCTATATGTATATAATTCGTATAAACTATACCTGTATCCCACTAATGTTTTAATCCAAATGAATAGGTGAATTGTGTAATGAGATTAGATATGAAATGAGTTAACCAAAAAGAATTATTCTTAAAAACAGAACATGGATTTTTCAGTTGAAACGAATGTTAGTAAAAGGGTAGCTTTAGGGCATTTAAAATAACAATTCTCAGTGAAGTTTAAAACTTTATTTAGTTCAAACTCGTATGTTTCATACTGACTGACGAACAATGCATGTGTGGAAAAACTCTTCTGTTTCTAACAAAAACAAAAAATGCCGTAAACTTATAATAGTTTCTTTTTATAATCTTATATATAAAAAAATTCTACACTTATGACAGCTGCCTAACTATATTACTGGACCGAATTGCACGCGGGTTGTACCAAAATAAAGGTTATTGGTCCTAAATGTGCAGGTTTATTTGTATTTTGAGAATAGTTATGTTAATTGGATCAAAAAACGGAAATTCACCTTTTCAATTGAAAATTACCATAGAGCCAATTCTACATATTGTTAGACAAGCATGCTTATTGAAAACCTTTTTTCTCCCCTATTGTGCATCGCAGGGTAAATCTACGCAACTACTGTTAGAAAGAAATTTGCCTGTAGTTGTGCAGAATCCCTTTATAAATTAAAATAGGCTTAAAAATAAGCACAACAAATGAATTTAAAATTAAAAAAGAACTAACAAGGCTTTATGGGTTGCCATGATGGTGACGAAATAAATAACAATATAAACAGAAAATCTAAACAAGTTGAAGAAATTCCAATCACATGTTTTATTTACAGCGTAGGGTGAAAATAGAGAAAATGAGAAATGAGTAATAACAAATTTGTTTATAATTTCTTATGTATTTCAAATGAGATAACTTATCGTCTGTTTTACATTTATCGTTTAGAACGTAGTCTAATATGTGAACACGAATATCATCTGGACGAAGGATCCTTTGAGTACAAATATCATTTGTGATAAGCCCTCACTCTTACTTGACTAAAGACGTTTACTTTTGGTTTAGTTTAATTTAAATCGGGTTGGTTATTGTTTATTTGTTTCAGTTTTATTAAATATTCCGAAGATTTATCAAGATACATATTATTAATTTTAGAGTGATGCTTGTCTGCAATATCACTAAAATATCATAGAAAATATAAAAATAAAAATAAAATAATGTATTAATATAATGTATGCAAATTTAATCCATATAATAATTTTATTTAAAACTATAAAAGAGAAAGAATGTATTTTTATACCCTATGGACTCCTAAACCGGTCGACAGATTGTGATGAAACTTTTAGGCATTATTAAGCATTATTCAAGGATGGTTTGTGTAAAGTTTTGTGCGGATCCGTCAAAAGGGCTCCACCCCAGAGGATATTAAGGGGGCCAATGTCAGACTTTTAAGACTACAATGTTTACAAAGAAATAACATTTTTATAAAAGCAGATGTTTACTTTCACTAATGGTTTTTTGATTTGAAAATCCCAACATTCTGTATTAGTCTTGATTTGAAATAGTGTCACACTCTTTCTTTAGAATGCAGCACAGAAAAATATTTTACATTTGGATATGTCCAAAAATATTAATCCCCAATCGCAGCACACCTGTGCACTCAACATTAAAAGATCCATAATAACAACTTTGATATACAAAATGATGAAATTGAAACTTTGTTTCTAGCTTTTTATAGATAAGTATGCATAAATATCTCTAAATTAGGTTTTACCTTAGAACACGTTTATGTTCCCTGCAAGTTCAAGTCAAAGGTAATATAACAAGAATGTCTGGCAGTCTACAAAAGAGATGATAAGGAAAGTCTTTCAAACAAGTTCAAACCTTTACTAACTGGATGATTAGGCTTGCGTTATCTAGAGTTTCTTGTAAAGATACGTATAAAATAAGATACGCCTTTGAAATAAAAGGCTACAAATATAACGTGTAGCCTATATTATTAGCTATGCAAAAAAGTATAGGATCAAACTAAACTATAATACCCCCGCCGCAATAAACCTACAGACAAAGCGAATTTTCATTTGCCTGATTAGATTTACACTAAAATGTCTCCTTAAAATATCTCATTTATTCCCTATTTAAATAGAATTAGTTTATCGAGTACTTAGGCCTGTCGCAACACATAGGGTAAAATAAAGTGTTTTTTTTTGTAAGTTTTCAATTGTTTATTAAAAAATTTATTTTCTAAATTTTATCAAAATATGTTCATAAACAAGCAAACTACAACAGTTGACTTATTCTCCATAAGAATAACATGGGATTTTCAATTTAATTTTTTTTTTCTCCGTAAACATTAGACACATAATAACACTTCAATATACTAAATTATTTGTTATTTTGAAGCTCTATAGGAGGTTTACACGTTAATACCAAATTTCAATAAAATCTAATCATTTTTGCTTACGTTATTGTGATAACGGATATATATATATATACTGTATATATTACTGTATATATGTATTTGAACGGATGGTGTTTTTGGGCCTCTAGGGACCTCAAAATGGAAAAGTAAATCGGTCTTGGGTCCAGGGTGGTCCAGGTCTTACCATGAGTACTACTGTAGTTATTCCCTATATAGGAAATTTGCTAATAGAGAAATTGCTGTGGTAAATACAGTAGAATAGCTTGGAGTTCCATTAGCCTATTTTCCATTTATTAAAACAAACATATAAAAATAGTTTGAAATACGAGGCATGTTTTTTAAGTAAGTACCGTTTTAAAATTTCTCTGTTCCAACACTGCAATTGGCAATTTCGGCATTTTTGCGCTGTGTGTGGGCATCTATTGGTAAGACCTAGCCAGAAATTCGAGAAAAATCGGCTGTGTTTACATCCGGTTTCGAGCATTCAAAATGGTGCCGCCAATTGAGACTGCCACCGACTGTGAAGTGCACGCTGTAACTAGATTTTGAAATGCTTAAGGTGTGAAAGCTATTGAATATCATCGACAGATTAGTGAAATGTATGGCGAGAACATTATGAGTGCCATGATGGTACGGACTACGGAAGTTGATAAAGGCATTTAATTACGGCCCCACCATACCCAGTGCCTCGCTCATCATGAACGTTGGTGGGGTCTTATTAACATTCCCTTACCTACTTGCGTACCATTCCGTCACTCATAATGTTCTCGCCATACATTTTACTAATCTGTCGATGATATTCAATAGCTTTCACACCTTAAGAACTTAAAAATCGTATTACAGCGCGCACTTCACAGTCGACGGCAGTCTCAATTAGTGGCACCATTTTGAATGCTGGAAACCGGATGTAAACACGGCCGATTATTCTCGAATTTCCAGCTATGTCTTACCAATAGAAGCCCAAACACAGCGCAAATGTCGAAAATGCCAATCACAGTGCAGGAACGGAGGAATTTATAAACGGTACGTACCTAAAAAAACATGCCTCGTAATTTATCACCAAAATTAATCGATTCTTTAATCGATGTATTTAAATCTACAAAAATTAATACAATTGAGTTTTGTTTGTGATAAGTGACCATAGTTCTAAATAGTAAGTGTTAAGTTGTTAGAAAGTATTATTCCAGTAAGATCCTCATTGGGGTAAATAACCACGAATATGCAGAAGTGCCTCAAACCATGAGGAGCTCATTCAATTATTGCTGACTTGCTTATTTCCTTAGAGGGTGGGTTGGTTTATTTACCTATAGTTGTGTTTATTATGTTCAATAGTCAAAAATTGATTAATTATTTAAAGTATAGACTAAATTGGTTGAACGTTTAAGAAGAATATTCGCCTAGTTACGCTGGTACTGTATATTAAATTGCAATAACACTATATTTTCAGACTTAAGACCCTAATAAATAAAACAACATGCCCGAGTGGACACTACAGGGACTGTATATTTACTTGCTTATCAATTACTATATTTTGTTTTATTATATTTTAAACACATTTCATATAGAGCATCCATTGTAAATGTAATAACGTCACATAATGTAATACCTTAAGTTGAAAGGTATGTTTTCAGTGTGAGTATTAAAAACAAATAAACCGATATTAGTTGATTCGTTATTGAATTAATTGTAATTAGCTACTAAAATTCAACCAACATTTTTAACGTGGTAATAATATGGGCCATAATCACATATAATGAATGTGGAAGGGATGTTTAATAAACGCATGTAGACTTTTTTCATTTGTATAGTTTTTTATGATTATGTGTTCCAAAAGCGAATGCCATTTTAAACATTTAGCTTTACATATTTGCTGTCAATTAATATCCATTATGAAACCTTTGTCCACGAAATACTAAACAACATTGAAACATTGTAGTTAGTTAAAAATTTGTACTCTCAGAGAAGGAATCGAAACAACCTGTTATCACGATAAAGAGGAGCTAAAGTACTACAGTACCAGATTATAGCAAACACATATAAAATACTTAAAAACATTTATTTGTTAGCATTTAAAGCGTCATTTGATCAAATATAGCTACTAATACAAAACAAAACGCAATTCATATCAAATTTAACTTTTTCTAGAAAACGGAATTTTACTTACAGTACAACAAGAAAAGCTTAAACACTAGGTGATACCGAACTCTCCGGATGAAGGGTTGTTCCCCATGCTGTGAATGTTCTCTTATCAATGAGTGGAATGCCTTTCTTGTCAAAGATAGTGCGCCACCAATCCCAGTTCACACCAGTAGCCTCTCTGGCAAATACACTGATGTCTTCAGCGTTCCCAGGGAGCTCAATGTCTTGCTCGAAGGGAGCTGTTAGATCTTGCCAGTTCTTCTCCCACTCCACGACCTTGCTCACCTTGGCTCCGTTGCTATCGTAGCTCACTTCCTTCCACTTGACAGCCCACTGCATGACGAAACCTCCTTTGTGTACTATTTTGATTATTCCCTTCGAGTGTATCGTGCTGGTCGTCTCAATGTAGTCAGTAGACATTTGCACGATGGCCCTGGAGTTGTCTTTGATGAATTGAGCCGAGTAGGAGATAGGGTATCCCAAGTTGTCTCGGGAGAATTTTGCGTATTTCACCAGAACATCGTTCACCTCCTTGAACGTTTTGGCATTAATCAACTGAATGTGCTCAGAGCTTCCACCGATAACGAAAACCTGCATGTTAAGGTTCTTCAGCTTGCTTTTCATCTCGGCTTCAGCGTCGGCCTTGAGGTCGAAATTTGTTGCTTTTGTAGCCAGTGTAGCCTTTGCTTCTCTATCAGTTGAGGATGTCTCCAGCTTGACGTAGATAGTCCTACCGTATGACACACTATCAACAATAACAGGCGGGTTGTTGATATCTGTCTTCTGCTTCAAGGTGTCAAGAGTTACTGACGACGCGAACAGATCAGAAGGTTTGTGAGAATGCTCGACGCTCACGGTATAAAACACTTGTTTAAACTTGTGAATCATAATGAGTTTTTCTTGTTTCTGCATCGCACTAAAATCAATACTGGACTCTACCTGGGTGTTCTTGAACTCCAAGCCAAATTTGACTCTTAGATACTCTTGACTATAAGCGAAGGTGTAATCACTGTGGAAGTTGGCTACGACACTTTGGTCATTCGGATGCTTCTCAAACCAAGTCTTCAACGTGTTTTCCTTCGTGGACTGGTATTGAGCGAAGGTTGGGTCAATGGTGAAGTGGCCATCAGTGGTTAAGCCTGGCAGATTCACGGTGTAGGTGAGCGGAGCACGAGGTAGAGAGAGGACGTCAGGTGAATTATCAATAAGTCTCTGATTAGCCAGCAGCAATGATCCAGGATAGGTTCTATGTTCATTAGCAGTCACAACTCCGATATCGGACATTCCATTCTGTGCAGTTTTCTTTTCCCTTGTGATTACGATGAAGTTGTGGTTAGTATCCAGCTTGCCTTCGGTTTGTACTGGAACACTGGTCTTGCTTTCTCCCTTGTATGCTAAGACTTGGTCCCGCGAGTAGTTCATGCCGTAGATGTAGCTGTCGATTTCATTGTTGGCCGTCGTCGTGTGAAACACACAGACGGCTGCGAGCTCGAAGAGGAGAAGTGACAGGCATCCCATCTTAAACACCATGGAGCCTATAACAAAAACAGATTTTATTAAATAAACATCGTTTCTGTAGCTATTCTAATTGAAATAGGTGTCTTATAACCAACATGTATTTTAGGTTTTTAGTTGTGTAACTGAGTTATTTGGGTTTGACATGGTTCAACACTAAATGAAATGAAGCCTTTAGTGTCAAACCCAAATAACATGCATTTGATATAGGAAAATTAGGTTTTTTGTTATTTACACAAAAACTAAAAGAGATACGAAGTAAGTGTAAATTACAAAGTTGTTAGGAATTGAAAAACCTATAAAATGATGTGCCACTTGACATATGTTGCTATTTGAAAATTTTGAACAATGAGCATTTGCAAATTTTCAAAAATAAATTTTTTTGGAATTTTTATTATTTCAAAAAACCGTTACTTGTTGCATATCACAGTAAAGCTAATTTCATAACGAGTAAGAAAATGCAACCGGAGAAGTGCTAAATGCATTGGTATAGGAAATACAGAGTATTAAAAAAATATAGATTTCTTTCAAAAAAACTGCCGCCATTTTGAAACGGAAAAAGATAACTAATTTTGGTTTTCGCCAAAATGTTTGTCTATCAAATACCTTTAAAATGATGTATAACATGACATATGTTTACATTTGAAAATTCCGAGATTCGAACTAGTGACCCTCAGTTTTTGGCACACCCTGTATTTGAAAAAAGTTAAAAATATTTTTACGTTATTCCTTGGGGTCGATTTAGTGGGAAATAATTTTATTTCATCCTTGTACGTTCAGCCGTTATCCCGTAATCAATTTGAGACACCTCTCGTGGGACACCCTGTATAAAAGATGAAATTGTAAACCCATACCAATTTCTATAAATTAAATTATAGTTATACATTGGAAAAAAGTACCCGAAATGCTTCAAATCCCAGGAATACATAGTAGTTAAACGCTAATATACCTATAGTTTTATCTCAACGTGTGAATATTTTTTTAATGTTTATTAACAAATGTAGCGGAAAATTTGGTTTATTATGATGAATTTTATGTTTTCTCATTTTGGAATTAAATTAATCTTCACTATTTGATCTTAATTTTCTTTTACGATTTTACCAGGTCTTCTGCACCTAAAATGTTAATTATTTGGGTAAGTTATATAGCTATAACTTTGCTCGTTAGAAATTACAGTCATCCACACTAAAATTTGTATAAAGCCTGTTTAACATAAATATTTACATTTATTTCCTTGACGCGGCCTACCAGTGACGTGTTACGTGTTAGTGATAAGAAAATGGGGCAAGAAGATCTAATAAAGTTGCCACACAAACTGAGGATATGCAAAGGATGACAACCCAAACCAAAAGCACTGTTAGATACATTTAATGACAAAACTGCCTTATATTTTGATATTCCTGTGTTCTTTGCTTCATTGCTATTCAGCTGATATGCGTTGTTATATAGTTATCTATGACATTTAGTGTTATTGGGCAATTATTATAAACAAGCTACAACATGGAATTTGCCCAACCTCGAAAAGCTTAGTCTGTAGGTTTTCTGCGACGGGGTTATTTTTGTTTACCACAGATTCGGTTTCATTAAATTTTTAATATTACTGTACTGACAAGTAAAAATGTAAGGGAACCGAATCTTCAGTAAACAAAAACTACTTCTGTTGCAGCAAACCTGAAGACTATTTTCATTTGCCTGATTTGATTTTCAAATAAGTTATTGAGATTTAAGTCAACCTATAATTTTGATTCGGTTTCCTTAAATTTGTCATAAATAGTTGATTCTAGGTAATTCATACTAATAATAATTGGTACTTGATAATAGTTGAGGTACTGGAATTACACCTGGAAACGTAATTTCAAACCTTTAATAGCGTAAAACCAATGATTTACTTTCAACGTATTATTCTAACTCTTAGAGATTGGGAAAACTATATAAGAAATTCAATTTTTAGTATTAAATGATTAGTTCAATGTGCCTAAAAGCATGGAAACTCACCTTGAAAAACAAATTAAATTTGACTTTGTTATTTAAGAAAAGGTTTCATTTGATTTATTGTATTATAATTAAGAAATAAATTATAATTGTAAAATGTAAAGTAATAACATCATATTTGCTTTGATGAAATTTGCATCATAATTTAATAAAATAGTTTGTTTTTATGAAAGATAGGTAAATAAAATAAAATCAAATCCATTTATTGCCATCAACATTTTCATCACAATGTTTTTAATTCCTTTACATAATCACAAATACTTCGACATTTTGACATTATTGACACATAAATCACACAAAATCTTTCTAATAGTAACTTTAAGTTTTGTGATTTCAAGAGATTTAATGTGAGCAGATAACGTGTATTAATGTATGTATTTAATAATTAATTTATGTGGTAAACATTTATATAATAGGCAACATGTAAAGATTCTTGACTTTAATCGAAGATTTTCTGTACAACATATGCAGCAAATATGTTTATCGTTTTGCCCACTACCATTGTGTTAGATATAAATTGGATAAAGTTATAACGATTTCAAAATGACGGCCTTTTTTATAGTTTTTAAGATATTCAGCCTTGAAAACAAAAAAATAGCCGCAATTTTTTAAAGGTTGTAAATGTTTCATTCATATTTTACACAAGGACAAAACGATAAAAATATTTGCTGAATTCCAACGCTACAACTCAAAACATTAGGGAGTTATGAATGTTTTTGTAAAAAGTACATACAGACAGACGGATGCATAACGATTAAGATAGAACACAATATGTTGTATTGCATTTTTGCTGGTTTTGACCTCCCGAATAATACCGAAGTTTGTCCTAGTCGAAGCGGACACCCTGTATATTTTATGTTACAGTTAGGCCTAAATCAAAATCACCTGATGCTTTTTATTCACAAAACGACCCTATGTTTATGTTGTATCATTTAAACATCAAAACGTATAGGCAGTTAAAGCATGGAATAAATATACACCAGTTAAAAAGTATGTCCATAGCATTAGCGACTTTGTATTACATACCATTTAGCCCAAGAAATGTCCTGGATTACAAGACATACAATTTTATGAAATGAAGTGGTAGAGTTGAATTTGTTTCCAAGCCCGTTAGGAATTGTGTTAACAATAAACAAATAAAGGATTAATAAGACTTGTGATACGCAACGAGTCACACTGTAAAATATTATTACCTATTTATTTTACACCTGTTTTTATAAATCTGTTAATAAATGACCGAATTGTAATTATGTGTCAAATTCTCCTGTATTAGGGTGTAACGAATATGTTCTTAAGCAATGTATGCCCTACTATTTCTCTTCTAAGTGTATTAATTTGAGATATTAGGCCTACTCGTCAGCATTTGATTCTATAAAAATAACTGTGTTGATGGAAAATGTTTTTGGTATTTCCAATTATGACGACTAATAGTTTAACTTACCAAAATGTGTAATTGTAGAAGTCTGGAGCACTGTGGACCATAGACCTCCTCTGCTATGCAAATGGGCTGTGTCTGGTTTATAAGAGTTTGTGGTGAACCACTAGTTACCGGGGCGGGGATGTATCAAAGTCCACTACTGGAAACTCGTCGCTCATTGGGTTATTGACCATTGGCATACATAGAATGGGCCTTTGAATATGACAAATTTAACCAATATTGACTTTGCGTTTAGAGATATTAAACCCTTTTCCTTACCGAACTATGGGCATTTTATTTACTTCAAGACAGTGATTTTTGTACCAAGTTATCAGAGTATGTAATGAAAAGGTGCAAACAACACCTGTTGATCCTGAATTGATCCAAACAGACTACCTACCTGATCTATACCAAAAACTGAGTAATTTTTTACTTTTAATGGTTGGGTCAATAATATATATAAAAAAAAAAAACTAAATATGACTATATGTTTGATCTTTCGTGTGTTCGGGTTTCCTGTTTACCTGTAACTATGCATGACTCAACTAATAGTGTAAGTAGTTCGCTTTTTGTAAGGACCTTTTAGTGCATAATAGGTTGGTAAAATCATAGACAAATTTTTCTATGGTAAAATTAAATACATTTTAATACAGACCTTTGTGGTTTTTCGTGCGGATCTGTTGAAAACGTCACTTGGCATTTGAAGTGCGTAATCGGTTGGTTAAATAAAATACATTTTCATACCGACCTAACAAATGCAATTGATTGAATGCTTCTAAGCCGATTGGTGATATTTTTTTATTAGATTAATTTATTAATTTCACTTATATTAAATTATAATACAATAGAAAGTAAAAACTAAGCTACATCCAATTGTTCAGGAGTATGATTTAGAGCTGTACATTTCTTTAGCTACGTGCCTAAAGAAGAGGCGTTTACACCTCCTGAGAATAAGGTTCAAATCCAAGAAGGGATAATGTCTTAAACTATTTATTTTTTAAAAGCTTTAATAGTGTTAAAGACATGTTTCCTAAATTCGTTACAATAATATAATTTACAAAAAGGCACAGGATTTATCAGCTCAATTGTTGACGGGTCTCTCCGATTAACTCATGAAAATATGGTTAGAAAGTGTAGAAACAAATATGTAAATGTAAATTAATTATATATGACGAATGATAAATGGACATGATAAATGATTTACGAAATGAATAATAACTTAATAATGAATGAACCAATTAAAAATAATCAAACATATATGGCCTATAAAGTTAGCAAGAAAAGTATAAAACTCATTTGTAACTAGTTACATGTGGTTTTCTTGTCATTTATATAAAAAAGTGTTTAGTACGCATAGTTGCATGAATAAACATGTGATCAAGATAAAAAAACATTTTTCTATTCGTTGGACGAATGGCTATTTCTTTAAAATATTTAAATGCAAGCTTAGAGTTTTGTTTTACGATTGAAATAAAAGTATGGGTACATAGCACTTAACGCCTATCACATAAAAAAATCTTTTGAGCTTATCGCATATATTTTTTTGAGGAAATTCCTATCGCACTTGTCATAAGTCATTCCCATCGAGATTAAACATTGTTGGATCTTCCTCCAACGTGGGCATTGTAGTAGTATATTTTGACAAGAGGCGCAGTGTTGGACTTTGTCCTAGATACCCGCGACAAGTGTTAATCCTTCTAAATGTTATCATTGATTTGCGCCCTAATTTGATAGTTCAATTTTTTTTTATAATGTAAGTAAAAAAGATATGGCATTCCTCAAATATATTAAAGTATTCGTTCATAATAATCCCTAAGTGTGAATTTGTATTACTACTTGTGGAGTTGATATGTAATGTATTTAATTTTCTACTTTTCAAAGGTTTTTTGAATTTTAAATAAATTTTATGGATTAACTAAAAGACCATATAACTCTTGAATTTATTCATTCAATTCATACAGTTTGAAAATTATAAAACAACATTGTCTACATACATTGAAACACCAATAATAAATACTGAGATGAAATAGTTATTTGTGTAACTAGTGGGCAAAGGCCTTTTGCACTCGTGTTACACATTATATTTTACCTACAGTCACTATAAAGCGTATAAATAATTAGTCTTTCAAACACTATGCAACACGTTTTTAGGTTCAGCTGGCAACACAAATAGGTGTTCTAGAGAAAGTAGTACCCGGTCCGTATCACTCCGCTATTTTTCCTCGGCAAGAAATGTGCTCAGCGACTTGAGAATATAGTTCCGTGTGTTTCTGTAATTTGAAGTGGTTTCCACGCCTAAAAAAATGCTTTAAAGGTATTTTCTTGTTTATTAAGATCGTAGGAATGTGTTAAAAACGTTTAAAAGAAAAGTCCAGAAAGTTCAGAAATACCGAAACTATAAACACGAAATGACAGGTTAAATCGTAGTTATAATAGTCAATCGGCTGTTCATAGTATTATTATCTTTAAGTGTTGCCAACCTATTTCCAAGCGTACACGGATTACGTGCATAATAGAACCACGCTGTTTTGTGTTGTTTCGTTCGAATCCTGATGTGCGCCAAAGTATAAACCATACGGCAAAGTATAAACCGTACGAAAAATTATAAATATGCAGCAATTAGCAGCTTTCTGTACTATAAGCAGTACAAGGAAGCCAACTTTGTCGGGTGACTGTAGGAAAAATTTATTTTTTAAATATGACATTGCTATTCGTGTTTATCATTCAAGTAACAAGATACAAAACCCATCTATACGCTAGGAGATATTACACTCCTAGGATAAAGAGTTGTTCCCCAGACTGTAAAAGTTCTCTCCTTCACCAGAGGTATGCCCTTTTCGTCAATAACTGTGCGCCACCACTCCCAGATTAGACCAGTACATTCCCTGGCGAACACGTTGATGTCGCAAGCGTTACCGGGCAGTTCAATCTCCTCGCTGAAATAAGCTGACAAAGAATTCCAGTTCTTGGACCATTCGACGTTCTTAGAAACCTTGTTTCCATTCTTGTCGTAGTTCACCTCCTTCCAAGTGATGGCCCACTGCATTATGAATGCCCCATCGTGGACAACCTTAAGGATACCCTTGGTTGTTACGGTGTTGGTGGTTTCGATGTATTCAGTAGACATGTGCACGGCAGCTCTGGAGTTGTCTTTGATGAAGTTGGCCGAGTAGGAGATGGGATATCCCAAGTTATTTCTTGAGAACTTTGAGTATTTTACAATAACGTTGTTAACATTACTGAAGGTCCGGGCGTTTATCAATTCAATTTGCTCAGGGCTTCCACCAAGGACGAACACTTGCATCGTCAAGTCCTTCAGCTTACTCATGATTTTGGATGCAGATTCAGTTTTAAGGTCGTAAAGAAATTGTCCATTGGTAGCCAGAGTGTCTTTGATCTCTTTATCAATCGTGGATGTCTCTAATTTGACGTAGATTGTCCTGCCGTAAGAGACACTGTCCACCATAACTGGAGGGTCGGTGTTGTTTGTCCTATTTTTCAGTTCGGCAGCAGTCACTGTTCGTGCAAAACAATCTGAGGGCTTCTCAGTAGGCGCCACACTAACAGTGTAGTATATTTGTTTGAACTTGTGGATCATGATGAGTTTTTCTTGGTTTTGCATAGCACTAAAATCAATATTAGCTTCAACTGGGCTGTTTTTGAACTCCAAACCGAATTTCACTCTCAGATATTCCCGGTTGTAAGCAAACCTGTATTCGTTTTGGAAGTTGGCAACAACGCTGTGGTCCTTCGAGTACTTATCAAACCATGTGTCCAGGGTCTTCTCTTTAAATGATTGGTAGTTGGCGAAGGTTGGCTCAATGGTAAAGTGGCCGTCACTGGTCAATCCTGGCAGATTTACGGTGTAAGTCAAGGGAGCACGAGCAGCTGCCAAGACATCTGGGTTGTTGTCCATGAGTCTCTGGTTGGCCAGCAGCAAGGATCCAGGGTAGGTTCTGTGTTCATTGGCAGAAACTATTCCAATGTTATACACTTCACTTTGGTCAGATTTCTTCTCCCTTGTAGTGACGATATAGTTATTTTTGCCGTCAATCTTGTTTCCTATTCTTGTTGGAACTTTGAGGTTTGTTTCTCCAATGTAGTCCAATATTTGGTCACGAGAATAGTTCATTCCGTTAATGTAGTTGTTGACGTCAACGTCGTTGTTGGTCCCTTTTGTGATACTGTACGCACAGAAGGCTGCGACCGCGACGCTGACAAAGAGAAGTGCCAGGCTGACTTTTATTACCAAAGGCTTTACCTAGGGAAAAGGAAAGTGTTAGTAAACATTTTTAATAGAAAGAAGTATTTACTGTGCACAAAGAGGAAATGAATACACCGATAAGCTTCTCACATATAGTATATATTAAAGAATAGTTTATATGACACAATTACTAACCAAAGCCAATATATTTCAATTATTATTTAAGTTTAACAATTAAACACTTTTAAAATTTAACTTTGCCTTATATTCTAATAAACAATGTATACCATATCCTGATTATTTGTACCATAATGATATTATAGCTTGACTCTCGTACCATAATGTTACCACAATCACTGTTTATGTTGGAAGTATGTTAAAAAAGGTGATGTTTCAAATCAGGGAGCTCATGGCTATTCGCATGACGTCACACATCACGCCACCATCACACCACCTTTCCAAACGCAGCCTAAATCTACTCTCCTCACGACAATCTACACCATGTCTTAGCCCAGTAAAAACCACGTACCCTTTGCGGCCCTCTAAGCAGTTAAAATGTAATCACTGTTTGTTATTTACAACACCTATCTCTAACTCCCGACGTACAGTACAAGTTGTGACGTATTTTACACAATTTATGTAGATTTTCAATTTTATTTTAGCAAATTTTCTATTTTGTTTGTATATAAGTGGGAATAAATATAATTTGATTGATTTGATTTAGTCTACGTGTTTTGTTTTTACAACAGTGCTTTTGTCACAAGTAGGTAAGAGTTTGCATAAAATAATATAGTGATGTGTTTCATCATCTATATTTCGTATGTAATAAGAGATGTGATATGTTTATTTATATTTTTATCCATAGACACTTTACATGCAATTAAATTAACGAAACGCCCCTACCGCAGTAAACCTGCCTCAGTAATCCTACTGTTGTAAACCTGCTGCTGTAAACCTGCTGTAGTAAACCTGCTTCAGTGAACCTGCCTCAGTAATCTTCTGTAGTAAACCTGCTTCTGTAAACCTGCCTCAGTAAACCAGCCACAGTAAACCTGTCATATTGGACCTGCTGTAGTAAACCTTTCATTGTAAACCAGCCACAGTAAACCTGTATTAGTGGACCTGCTGTAGAAAACCTGCTGCAGTGAACCTGCCTCAGTAAACCTGCTGTAGTAAACCTGCTGCTATAAATCTGCCTCAGTAAACCACCCACAGTAAACCTGGCACAGTAAACCTGCCGCAGTAAAAGAGCTATAGGAAACCTGCCTTAGTAAACGTTCTACAGCGATCCTGTCACAGTAAACCTGCCTCAGTAAACCTGCCGCAGTAAAACAGCCTTAGTAAACGTACAACAGGAAACCTGCCGCTGTAAACCTACCTTAGTATAAACGTGCTACAGGAAACCTGCTGCAGCAAACCTGCCTCAGTAAACCAGCCACAGGAAACCTACCGCAGTAAACCTGTCATAGTGAACCTGCTGCAGTAAACCTTCCGCAGAAAGCCTGCTGTAGTATACCTGCTACTGTAAATCTGCCTCAGTAAACCACCCACAGTAAACCTGGCGCAGTAAACCAGCTGCAGTAAACCTGCCTCAGAAAACCAGCCACAGTAAAGTTGCCTTAGTAAACGTGCTACATTGAACCTTCCACTGTAAACCAGCAGCAAACCTTTAGCAGTAAACCTGTAGCAGTAAGCCTTCCGCAGTAAACCGTAGCAGTAAACCTGTAGCAGTAGATTAGTAGCAGTAAACCAGTAGCACTAAGCCTGTGGCAGTAAACCTAAAAAAAGGAAAAATATATACTTCTAATAACACTTGTAATAACAAACCTGTAATAAACCTGTAGCACCTGTAGCAGTAAACATGTAGCAATAAACCTGTAGCAGTTAACCCGCTGCAGTAAACCCGCTGCAGTAAACCTTCTGCAGTAACCCTGCCGCAGTAAACCTGTAGCAGTAACCATGTAGCAGTAAAACTGTAGCTCCTGGAGCAGTAAACTTGCCGCAGTAAACCTGTAGCACCTGTAGCAGTAAACCTGTGGCAGTGAACCTGTAGCAGTAAAACTGTAGCACCTGTATCAGTAAACTTGCCATAGTATACCTGCCGCGGTAAACTCTAGCAGTAAACCTGTAGCAGAAAACTTACCATAGTAATCCTGTAGCGGTAAAACTTTAGCAGGAAACCCGCTGCAGTAAACCTGCCGCAGTAAACATGTAGCAGTGTGCTTACAAAACAGCAAGGCGAGCTGTTCGCCAGTGGATGTGCATAGAACATCGAAGGGACTGGGAAAGAAAAACTGACAACGTAAAGTCAAAGAGAATTCTGTAAACATCTACCGGTGCAAGACCCTGCAGAAGGTCTTCATCAGCGGCCATTGGATATTCCGCGGATATCTACACAAGATGGGAATTCAAGTTGAAAGCCTCTGTAGGAAATGTGGAGAGGAGGAGGAGACAGCCTTCTATGTGATATTTATGTACCCAGCCCTACAAGGTTTGCGTATGAGATCCTTTGGCCTAACGACTGGAGATCAAAAGGGAGAGCAGTTTACCATAGTCAAAAGAATCTCAAGGACCTGGGATTTGACGAAGAATGAGGACCTGTGAATGAGGGTTCATAATAAGCAGTTCCCAAGGTCACTTGAAAGCCTGGCGCTCTGTAAAAAAACCCCTGTACCAGTAAACCTAAGCGATTTTTAATTAGTCTAGATGGATTTTAACTAAAATATTTCTTTAGACTTGTCAGATTTAACATGTCTTTAACAGTATGACATGTTATGATTTAACAGGGTGTCTTTAACATTTAAAACATAGAAAGCCGGCATGTATTAAGCAAAAGTTGTATTTTTCTTTCAGCTTGAACAGTAAAAACAGTAAAAAAGTTCCCTGTTTTCTGGTATTCAAACCACTAAAACAAACAACAGAATATCTAAACCTCAATGGTGTAGCATATGGTTGGAAAGCTTATAAAATGGCGCAGTTTTTTACTTATTCGAACACTTTCTTGTATACAGGGTGTGAACAAATACAACAGACCAATTTTTTTTTTAAATGTTTATCAAACATCTTAATTTTTATCTTTGAATCTATTTACAATGGAGTTTTTACAACTGATCCTCCATCATTTTATATTATTCTTATTCAACATTTAATGTAGAACACGAAAATGACATTGTCTACTCAAATCCATTTACGGTTAATTGAGAAATAGCTGTATTAAGTTTGAAAACAATGTTATTTTTGAAAAACATAAAATAATTCTTTAGGGAGCCAATTTTTGGACTTGGGACCTTTTATATGCATCATCACAATGCATTTACTTTGTACTTACGTCAAAAATTTTTTTTCACACTGATGACCAGCCACCCTGTATATATTTATATATATAAATCTCCATATGAATTTGAACGGATGGTGTTTTTGGCCTCTAGGGACCTCAAAACAAAAAAGTAAATCGGTCCCGGGTCCAGGTCTTACCATGAGTACTACGGTAATAGCTTATTCCCTATAGGGGAAATTCGCTAAAACAGGTTAAAAACTTGAAAAACAAAAAGTAGCCGTATGGGCAAAATCCTTAACTGTTGATAGAGTGGAAACGAACTTGTTCTTTTAGGTCTTTACAACAATTTACGCATTACAAAATGTTTGTGTTTTTCTTTATCTTTAATAAAGTTTTGTTAATTCCTCCTCAGCATGGCAAGGCGTATTCCAGTCTTGGGTTGATTAAAACAAAGCATTATGTTCTTCAAATTGATTGGTAACAGAAGTTCCTTAAAGAGTCAGGTTTTGTATTAGCTTGCGCATCTTAGCATGACAATTTTATATATGATGTTAAAAAATGATTTGTTTCATTGAGCAGAACTCAAAATATTGTATGGATTTTAGTTTTTCTAATGGCCGGAAAGTACATAATTGTGGACTGCACATTGATGAATGAAAGTTTAAGAGGGGTGTCGTAATGAGAATGTAAGATTTTAATAAAGTATCGTATAATTAATTGTTTATCCTTTTTTCCTTACACATTTATCCTTTTAATTTATAATAATTTAGATGAGATATTGTATTTATAAAAAAGATAGTTTGTTTACATATTTGATCACTTTACTCGAGTGGCGAATCTGAGGTCGCATACCTACTTTATCGATTATTGACTAGTGAATATTATTGTGTGTTCAACTTTACCCATTCAACTTCAGAGATGCTCCGGGTTAAGTTATCCTTTTCCTTAAGAAGTCGTTCCATTTCTTCTTTTGTGTTTTGATTCTCTTTCCACATAAGTTTCAATCGTATGTTGAAATAATTGAGAGAGTTTTAAAATGTTTATAACCTAAATTTGTTACTGATATTCGTGAGAGATTCACTAGACTTATTTGACACATTCATAATTCGTTGCTTAAATGATTAAACACGGCGGACAGTTCTTTTGACCCCACCATTTGCCTCGTAGAACATTAAGCTAAATTCAACAGACTTAATTGTTTCATTTCGGTAATTTTTAGTTCCCCCACAATTGACAAAACACAGTCCGCACACTGTTTATCCCCACAGATAATCTCAGTGAATTAGTTTTAAAAAATTTTACCAAATCAGCACACTTTTACTAATACACCGATACGTAGGTTATGGCCGGTCAGATACTAGTGGGACTCTGCCAACGAAGCGATACAACAGTTTGCCCCAATCCACAAACAGATAATACTTAGATAAAACGGAGAAACTAAACAGAGAAGTTCTATCACAAAACAGGGAGTCAAGTCCACTCTTTGTTCGGTGGTTTTATCAAACTGAGTCATGTGAAGGTCGAGTGTATCTTAAGATAATTCTCGTGGAAAGGCTGTAATAAGTTGAGTGGATGTGTCACTGACAAACGTCAACTTTTTTTTTTTTCTAAGAATCGTTCATTATTGATTCATTGTCACGAACAACTGCATAACAAATTTCAAATTTTATATTTGTGTCAAAAACCAATCCGATTGTTGAAAATTTTTTATAAAATATTTAAAATTATGATATATCTATATCGATAAAATATTTATCGATTTGCTACATTTGCTTGTAAGATAGGTTAAAGCTCTTATATAGATGTTAAATGGGCATTTTTATAACAACAAATAGTAAATTATCAAACTATTTATAAACAAATAAAAACAGTAACCGGTTGGCTGTTATGTATCACAACAGAGCACAGATTTTCTTAAGTTTTGCTGCGTGTTTTCTTTGTACCAAATTAGGCTCTAATCAATCTTATCTAATCGAAATGCGCATTGCAATTGTTTAAAGCTAATAAAGCTGTAAAAAATTATATATGTTATAACTACTCTCGGACATATTTTGCTAGATGTCAAACTTATGCGGACGAGTCTTAAACCCCACACATCAAAAGCACACAAAGGCACAGTCACAGTAGTCAACAACAACAAAACTAGCGATAAGATGGGTTTGTTGTTGAACCTGTAGGCCCCTACACTGTTTTAATGACCGGATAGCAAGAATAGTATATTTCGTACCTAGGGCCGAAAATGAGGTTTTGCCGGCTCAAGATAGTTTTTAAGTCCGAGACGAAGTCGAGAACTTAAATCTATCGAGAGCTGCAAAACCATTTCGGTCCGTGGTACGAACGCTATTTTTCACCCCACTATACCCTACACCACTATTCACCACTATAATAATGCACACTGATAGTCAACACAACTACAACTAGGGTTAAGGTTATGTGAAGAAATAATTTGAGGAATCAGCAAAAATAAAAATAAATAGTTGCTAGGCAACGGTGACAATATTGACACAATTCTATTGCAATGCTATGGATTTTGATTGTTTATTTAAAATGCATCCATGTTTTAAGTGAGTAAGCGGACAGCTGATTTTGCGGCCCCGGGCTGTAAAAACCTGCTCTGTCCCCAAATTATGACGACAGCTGGCATGGCCAGCAAAACTTAACTTTCAGCCACCAATTAACGTATGTAATACAGCCAAAAACATCATAGTGTGGTGAAAAATAATATTATACCATGTTCTCACTCCTTCTGTAGTGTTTGTAGATGAGTTTTAAAAGTCAAATAAGACAACATCATCAACCCGAGATATTGATCGCATTTCTTTTAAGGAATGTTAGAAATCAATAAGTCAATTAATTATAATAAATCACCAGTTTTGTATTAGCAGCTTCGTTCTAATATAACTACCTGTGTTATGTATGTGAACTTGTGCTAGTATACTATAGAGCAATGGCATCGGCTGCAACAAACTCTATCGAAAGAGCAAATCATAGCCACCTCTAATACAAGGCCGCGGCAAGCGAAAAGTGGCAACGTTGCATCCGTGTCTTGGTGCGCGGCCGTCTTACCATTACAGTGAATGGAGGAGTCGCGTACTCTACGTACATAATCGCGTTTCTACTACCCTTAATCATTAGTAATGACATTGAAATTGTTACTACAGCATGCCAGATAGATGTGACGTGCCTGGATGCAAAATGATTACGAAAGCTCAATTAAAAATTAATAATAAGTACAGTGTTCTAAGATTCTAAGTGATCAGCCTCTTAAGCAACAATGGCTTCCTGCTATTATTCGGTAAAATAAGACATCTTAAAACAATTCTCTTTTTTGTGTGAAACATTTTTACGAATATGAACTTAGATTTGTAAAAAAATTTAAGAATAAGACAATGATTCATGTAAATATATACGCGAGAAGCGTGTTTTAGGTATGAGAATGCCGTACTATTTCCTTGTTTATTTGTCTATCTATTGATAAAAGCTGTTGTTAAGTGATAAAAATAACTGAAATAACTTGCACTTCGAAGAAATAAACCGGTGTTTCTATTAAGTAGGCCTACTAGTAAAAAATATTTACTACACCATCTAACAATAAAAGCATCATAGTCTCCGACTCCAGTCTGAATGTTGATGTGATAAAACAATTCTATTAATATTGTGGAAAGCCATATGGAGGCCTAGCTTCTAAAATCGTTTACAAAATGAAAAACGTTTTGCTTAGTAACTATTCAAAGAAAATAATGTGCCTTCAAAGTGAAAACTTCAAATTTTGTTGTCGCTAACTAATGGTTTCCTCAGGTAGACTTAAACATAA